AGGTAACAATCTTCCTCTTCACCTTCTTTGGCATCTTGGATGTTTTTGTATGAAATAGTTGTTACTTTTTCATCAAGAGACAAAGTTGGCCTGGTTCTCGATGGTAAGTCCTCTACGGTGGTATCTGTTGAAGTTGGAAACAGAGAGGACACACAGGTGTTTCTGAAGACTCTTGCTGGGAAGATCCCTTTGCTGCCCAGGAAGGATCTCTTTTGGAGAAGCATTGTGGGTATTTTGGAGGTTTTGAAAGTCAGCAGCACTCTCTGTGCTTGATTTGTCCAGTTTAGTATTTCAGTTGAAGCTAGATCTATTGGGAGTTGAATTTCCGGAAATAGAGATCTTAGATGAGAGGTGACTTGCTCCTTCAGCTTCCAGATGGGCAGCTGTCATTTATATCTGCAGATTGTTAGGCACACCTTTTGCAGTTGTAGAACCAGTATGTACTGCTCCTTATTTTCTCTAGGTTGTTTCAGGTCCCAGTCTGGGCTTCTGTGATCTTGCCTAGAGGGATTTCCATTGGCCAGGCCTGTTGCTTCCAGCACAGTCTTTGTGGCATAATCGAAATACTCCAGTTTTACAAAAATTGTTTTAGCAGTCTAAAGATGTAACCCATGGTTTTAGCTGTCAGATGGCAGAAATCTGTTGCAGTGCTGGCAACTCCCTCTGCTACTACGGCCTCTGCTGGTTTGTTTGCCTGCTGCTCGTTTTCAGCTTCTGCAGGAATTTCCTCAGAGTTGAAAGTATCAGCCAGAGGAGCATACTGATTAGTAACAGGAATGGTGTAAGCGGCTTCGTTCTTTGCTTTAAAAAAGTCTTCTATCTTTTTCTGTTTGCAGATGAGAAGTGTTGTTGGGTCCTCTGGATCTCGAGATCTCTTTGTTTTCCTCATTATGGGTACTATGTAGCTACTATGGAGTTGCGTATGAGCTCCCAGTTGTAGCCTTGTGGAGTTGCTCACTGCCTGGTGAAGGTGTTAGTCAGAGATGGGAGAATATAAAATATGCTGGGGCTGGTAAAATTTGGAAAATGAGTAGGGCTCGGAAAGTAATAAAAAAGCCGAGTGTATAAAACTCCTGGAGTTACTTGCCCTGTACAACTTGTACATTCTAAACGGGACCTAGTATGACTCTTCTGATGGGTCCTACACATACTTATCTTCACTTTATGCAAGCACAATTGACGACATAGCAATTTCCCCCAACCTATTGAGTCAACTGAACAACTTTAAAGTGAGGGATAGTAGCTTAAGTGATCACTGCCCATTAGAACTAAATTTAAGTTTCAGCAACCAGATTTTCTTAACCCCGACATCTGATCCCACTGAAGATCTATCTCCTGGTTACAGGAGACGTAGGTGGATGGAACGTATGTATAACACAGTTGCACAAGCTCTAGAGGGTATAGAACTCAGGGTTTAGTCATCAGTCTCTTTTACAGTCAGACTCCAATGTTATTCATTATTATGAAGATCTAATTCTTACCCTTAAACCTCTGTTGACTAACTATGGACCTCCCAAACAACATACCCACCCCAATAATATTTGGTTTGATCAGGAATGTAGGGATTTTAAAAAGAAGCTAGTCAGACAAATGAAACATACCCGACAAAATAAGGACCAGAAACTAAGA